CATGCAAATGTGAGTAGATCAATAGGTACCGCCTCAGCCAGAAGGCAAATGACACTCCATGCAGTCATGTCGGCCACATGAAGGGGTGGGGGCTGTCTACAGACAATGCAGGCTCTTTGGCTTAGAAATGGAGATGAGCACCATCCCTCAGAGCCAGAGATGAGCACCACCACCCCAGACCTGGAAATGAAGGCTTTTACCTTTATCTTTGTGTCTGTGCTAGGTTGTTTTGAGACATTTAATGTTTGCCTTTGTGTTGTATATACTGGAATCCTCCCTGAGTCCCCTCAGGGAGATAGGGTGGAATACAAATAAAGTGTCATTATTATTATTATTAGTAGTAGTAGTAGTAGTAGTAGTAGTAGTAGTGGTATTTGGGTCTACTTTGATTCTCCTTCCCTTGTATTTATTTATTTATTTACTCTATTTATTTCCCGCCTTTCTCAAGGCAGTTTTACATATGGTGACTATTCGATGCCTTTGAACAACAAACCGTTAGAATACCCTTAAGTTAAAAAATCAAAATTAAAATTAAATGCACATTAACACATATAAAAGATTGCATTCACTATTAAAATCACACCAGCATGGCTTGACTTGACAGGTTAAGCAAATTCTGTAGTTGTTTATCTGTAGTTACTTATCCACAGGAAATTTTCATTAATGCACTTATTTATTTACAGTTTTTATATTCCTCCCTTCTCACCCCGCAGGGGACTCAGGGCGGATTACAGTGTACACATATATGGCAAACATTCAATGCCAATTTTTGACATACAAACATATACAGACATACACAGAGGCTATTTAACTCTTCTGGCCGCCGGGGAGCTGTCGCTTTCAACGTCCATCTGCGACGCTGATGAAACATTTCCGCATTCCCGCATGCTTCCCCGCTGGAATGCTTTGCTGGAGTCTTCTTTATGGCCTCATAAATCAGTTAATTTAGTCTCCCCACACTTTAAGGTGGTACCTTATTTTCCTACTTGACAGATGCAACTGTCTTTTGAATTGCAAAGGTCGACAACAGGCTACACTCAATTGGTTGGAAACCCACTCCAACCCAGGCTGGCTTCGAACTCATGACCTTTTGGTCAGAGTGATCTTAATGCAGCTGACACTCAGCCAGCTGCGCCACAATCCCAGTGCACTACAATCTTGTTTTTTGATTGTGATTGTAGTGCGGATCTTGTGGGCTGATCCACAAGGTGTTTGATGGAAAGATGGTTCCAAGTATGGGTGAAACTGAATGTGTCACTAAGGGTTTTGTATCTTCAACATCTATTTAAAAAGAAAAGTAAAGTGAAAGCTGTTTCAGATCAGAAAGAGATGAGATGGTGCTGAACTCTTCTCTTTTATTTGCTCTCCAGATTTCTCATCCTAGACACTATTTATCTACATTAAGCCAAAGATTGCCAGGTCAGGACTATCCCAAGCCGGAAGATTTCGATACTAGAACATGACCTAGGAATGACGATGTTATAATGTAACAAGTGGCAGCCCCTAGTGGTAGCATTTTGCACAGTACCTTGTGCCTCAACCACAGCTACCTTTCAAATAAAAAAATTAAAACATATACACATTTCAAAGAAATTCCCTTGCTGAAACCCATCAGTATCACCCAACATTTTGAGTGCAGTAGGGGCTGCGCAATGCCTTCTGAGCATTCTTTCCAGCCCGGCACCCTCCAGACTGCAATTGCTGCAATCCACAATAATTATCACCATTGGTGAGATTGCTGATGACAATGGGTATTTTAAGTTTGAAGGGCCCATTTGAAGAAGATGGCTATGAAACCTCTAAATTGGGTTGTGAAGAGAAGGCAACCTTTTGGGTATCATTTATGCACAGCAGGTAGAACAATAACCACTGACAATGTTGGGCTAGACTTATGAAAACTGTCATGTGACAATACCAGAGGACCCATATTTGGGAACCATACACTTGGTAGGTTTGTTTCTCTTGTTGTATATTTATTTATTATACCCAGCCTTTCTCTACCCCAAAGGGGATTCAACTATTCTTTGTTTCAAGGAGCTTAGAAGCCAACGTGTTGAGTAAATGTAACATATACAAGGCAAACCTTTTACCTTTCAAACTGATGGCAATTAAAGGAATGCTAGTTGATGTTATTTATTAGAAAGGAGGTACAGTATATAAGATAATAGACTTCACTACTCTTTAGACAGCAAGTCATTTAGCACAGAATTCTAATAAAAAGGTGGTACAGTTTGCGGTTCACTTTTCACGGACTCGCTGTTTCGCGGGTTTTTGCCTCCAGTTTATGAATGGTTGCTGCTGCCCAGAGCGGCGTTCTAATCCTGGCAATGATGGAGTGTGGAAGGGGATTTCATCCTCCCCCTTGGGAGAGAGGCAGCCAATCAAGAGAGATTCCAAAGCAAAGCAGAGATAGCTAGCAAAGAAAAGGTGTGTGGTGTCTTTAAATTCCTCCTCGCTTCTACCTCACCCTTGGAATGCGATACACATATATAGTGTCCCTACTTCGCGGATTTTCACTTTTCGCAGGTGGTCCTGGAAAGTAACACCAGCAATAAGTGAGGGAACACTGTATATTTTACTGGCAAAGATATGGCAATCATGCACACGGCAATTTCATAAAACTCTAAAAAGACAATTAAGTCACTGACGTTCTTTAGTGGCTTATACATTTCAATTCATAGAGCAATCATTTGAGAATGTTCTTTATAACTTGTATGTATATATTGCATTCTTTGGACATTCTCATTTTCAGATGGTAAAAACTAAATTTGACCAGAGAGATCTAGTGGTTAACTCAGTGCTTCTTAACCTGTGGGTCCCCAGGTGTTTTGGCCTATAACTCACAGAAATCCCAGCCAGTTTACCAGCTGTTATGATTTCTGGGAGTTGAAGGCCAAAATATCTGGGGACCCACAGGTTGAAAACCACTGCCCTAGTCTGCATGAAAAACCCTAATCACTACCCCAATGGGCCAATTAAACTCTGCTAAGTTTGCCAGGAACAAAAATCCTGAAATTTGATGCTACTTCCCTTTTTTTGCACACAAATTCATAACAGAGTTGAACCTAAGTATGTTTTATGCTTCTACTCCCCAAAATAAGATTTTATTATCTGCATTGGACCAAATAACCCATATAATAACAGTGGGAATGCTTCTTGTGAAATTCACAGCAACTCTCTACAATCCAGTCTGCTGTTCTGGTTTTTCATAGTCCCCATTGATAGATTTTGGGAAATTATAGAAGAACACCCTTAAAGAAGAACACCCTTATTTTCATTTGCAAAATACTGAACACTTAGGGGTTTCAGAACATCTGATATCTGTTTTTTTTGTGTCCAGTGCAGAAGTGCCATCTCCTTTAGAAAGATAATTATAATAACTTTATTTATTGGGTTGTTGTAGGGTTTTTTGGGCTATATGGCCATGTTCTAGAGGCATTCTCTCCTGACAGAGAGGTAGTGAAGTCTGATCCTCAGAGGTAGTGAGGTCAGACCTCACTACCTCTGAGGATGCTTGCCATAGATGCAGGCGAAACGTCAGGAGAGAATGCCTCTAGAACATGACCATATAGCCCGAAAAAACCTACAACAACCCAGTGATTCCAGCCATGAAAGCCTTCGATAACTTTATTTATAACCCACCCTCTCTCCTCAAAGGGATTCAGGGTGGCTTACAAAGACAAAAATAAAATAGAAATAAACATCAGTATAAACCATTAAAGCAAGCAATTAAAAATTCACAAATAACACAATAATAGTTAAAAAATAGGTAATAAGTTCCATAAATAACATAGTGAATTAATAGGATCAACATGAGAAATGAACAATAAAAACATGACTGTGCTAAGTTAGGGTAATATGATCTCAGTCAGCCTCATCAGACAGAATAGAAGCATAAGAAGTTAATAAAACCTAATCATCCCGCTCTCCAAAAGCCAGTGTACAAAAGTATGTTTTAATTGCTTCTTGAATTAGAGGCGTGAGGAAGTTGTTCTTATTTCTAAAGGGAGGGAGTTCCAGAGGGAGGGGGCTGTCACGGATAGGGCCCCTCTCTCATTCCCATCAGCGAGAGTCGGGGGTGGGACCGAGAGCAGGGCCACCTCCGATGACTACGTAGGTTTATATACAGAGATATGGTTAGTTAAGCAGCCTGGACCCGAACCGTTATAGCTTTATAGGTAATAACCAGCACTTTGTAATTATCCCAGAATCAGATCAGCCACCAGTGGAGCTGCCATAACATGGGAGTTGTCTGCTCCCTGTACAGCGTGCCAGTTAGCAACCTGGTTGCCAATCTTTGAACCATCTGAAGCTTATGAATTATTTTCAAGGGCATTCCCACATAGACAGCATTGCAGTAGTCCAGAAGGGCTGTAACTAGGGGGTGGCTAGGTCTGGCGTCTCAAGGTATGAGCACAGGTGGTGCACAAGTTTTAACTGTGCGGAGGCGCTTCTGGTTACTGCTGACACCTGAGGTCATCTGCAAGTCCAGGATCACCCCCAAGCTATGGACCTGCGTCTTCAGGGGGAATGAACCCCATCCAACACAGGCTGTAACCCTAAACCCAGTTCCACCTTCCAACTGACCAGGAATACCTCTGTCTGAGATGGAGCTCAGACACTTTGAAAATGGCAATTAAGTTGAAGGGTTGCAAATATACTATACAGCAATGAAGGTATACTGTAAATTAAAATTTTTCCATGACATCACTTGTACCTCTACACTACAAGGAGTAGAATCAAAGTCTAGACATCTACATGAATTAACCCTTGAAAGTATTCTACTGGATAAAGTGCTCTGGATCTGAACACAGGAGAGATGTATACAAAGCTTACGGTGTAATTTTAAATGAGTTAATGTCTACTGATTTTACCTTGCAGGAAGTTTGGGAACAAATAATGGGTTGGCTTCATGTATGTCACACTGAACTCCTTAAAAGAAATGGAGAAGGAACAAAATTTAAAAAGTAGCTAACAGTACTTATTTTCTTTCGGACCAGGTGGCTCCTCAGCTGGAGAAGAGCCAGGGAGTGCAAAGGCTACTAAACGGCCATACACTGTCCACAGGGCATCCCATGAGGTAAGTTTCTAAGACCTGGATGGGTAGATCATTTTTAGTTACCACCAAATTGAGTTTCAAGACAATTTGGACATTCTATTATGAAAAGCTATTTTAAAAAATACATTATAAAACACTGTAAGAAACATAAAACTCTGCTGGTTCACTTCTCTAGTAAGTATTTAGAACTTGAGTTCTATTGAAAACCATAAATTGGAGTGCTCTGGTATTACTTTCCTTGAGAGATCTTTTTTTAACCTGGGTTACTATGGTAAAGACACCAAATCTCCTCCTACACTGGATTTCCCAGATCAACACATTGTACCACATTTTTCTAGAAGTTTAGAACAATCTGTGTAGGAGAAGAATCCATACGAAAACATGCAGAGAATACCCGTATTTACTGGAGTCTAATGAACTATCGAATCTAATGTGTACATCAGGTTTCAAAACCCTGAAACCAAAAAAAAAAAGTATTTGCTGATGAATGTAACACACAGCAGCAAAAAGTGCACTCTTTGTCATTTGGGGAAAAAAGTACCCATTACAGTGGCTGCATGCTTATAATTCCTACTTTAAAAACAAAAGTGTTAGAACATCAAAACTTTTAGCAATGGATAAGATAACCTTTGGGTGTATCTATGCTGTAGAATGAATCCACTTTAACTGCTCTGGCTCAGTGCTATAGGGTCATGGGGACTGCCAAAGATTGCTGATGTCTCACCAAACTACAAATCCCAGGATGGCATAGCAATTAAATTAGAGATGCCATCCCTCAAATAGAAGCTCCAGGTGCTCCTGAAGTAGCTCCCTCTTTTACTTTGGCTCAGCACTAAGATTACCATATTATGCAAATCTAATGCACACCCCAATTTTGGGAAGGTAATTTAGCCAAAAGAAGGTGAGCATTAGATTTGAGTAAATACAATATATTGTAGAAGAGGAAGTTGAGAAATTGTTGATGTGGTAGGCCGCCAAGCTATTTCAAGGTGAACAGGATTTTCTTGAGATGTCTTCAACAGGATTTTTCCATTAGATTCCTCTGAAAGTGAGAATGACTTGCCCCAGTTTGCTCAGTGGGTTTTAATGGCTGAATACGGCTTTGGGTCCAGGTCACGTGGAGTCATGGAGTCCACAAAGTGGTACTTTATTATGTTGAGCTGTGCATTTTAGATCTACCTCATGTGTAGTTTGATCTTAAATACTTATCCACATAGAGAATAGTGTCTCAAACAAGAAGAAATAATATTTGCTATTATTACTTATCAAGGTCTTCAGTCTGTGGGATGAGCAGTGCTGCTTGACACCAGCACAGCTTCATACATATAGGCAAGGTAGACAGAAGCTGACGCCAGAATCCCTTATAAACAAAGAGGGAAGGGGAAGACCTGCTTTGCTAGCTACCCCTGACATGTTTAAAAGATTTCTGTAAGTTTTACCACCAAAATGGAGGGCTGTTGAGAGAGAGAAGCCACCCAAAGAGTCCTACAGTAGAGGAAGATGGCAGACATCATAACAATGGTCCTTTGTCACATCCCCCCAGGCATATGTGGAACTTCACGAACTGATCATGGACCAGAACAATGAGTGTCGCTGGCTGGAGGCATCTCACTGGATCAAACTGGAGGAAGATTTTGAGGAGCTGGGGCATTGGGGTAGACCTCACCTCTCATATCTGACTTTCCAAAGCCTTATGGAAGTGCGCCGGGCTTTCACCAAAGGTGAGGAAGAACTTCTGGGATTTCACTCCATTTCATTTTTAGGAATTCACCAGACCCCAAAACTGAACTAGCCATTTAGTTGAGCACACAGATGTTAAATTGCTTTTCCTACACTATCTCATTTGTTTATTCATTAATTATTTAAATATCATTTATGTATGTATGTATGTATGTATGTATGTATTTATTTATTTATTTATTTGTCACACTTGTACCCTGCCCTTCTCATGGGGATGAAGATTTTTTTTAAATATCTGAAAAATTTTTCTGATACTCATCTTTTGCACCTCTTAAATATTAGCAACAGTGAGAAAACACTGGTATTCTCACATGCACACTGATGTTCCATCACTAATTCATCCAGCAACATTAAAATGTTTTCGAAAAATTGCCAAATTGCTATCTTTTTTGCAAGTGTTTATTTTAAACTGAAAAATCAATCAAAAAATCAATCAAAAACTCACAACTCACCTAAATGTGATCAATTAATGCAAAAGGTATTATCGTTCTGTCAGTGATATCCATGACAGCACATACTAAAAAATAAATCAGTCTTAAAGGTGTTACTAGATTTCCTTTTTAAACCCTCCCCTTTTTATGTTTCAACAAGGGATGTTGCTCAAAATCGTTACAATTTAATGATAAATGAACTTTAAGACTATTGGTGAAAATTGTGGTGATCCAGTGAATCACTGAATTAAATTTCAAATAAATTCTTGCCAACTTCTGCTTAGTGATGAATGATCTCGTCTGAGTTGCCACATGTTAGCTGATGGTTTCTTTTGTTGCATCTCTAGGAACTGTCCTTTTAGATTTGCCTGAAAAAAGTCTAGCTGGGATTGCCAACCAGGTGCTTGACCAAATGATCTACGAAGGACAGCTCAAGCCAGAAGACCGAGAAATGGTGTTGAGAACCCTTCTGCTCCAACACAGGTACACATGTCATTAGCCTGATCTGACAGCTTGGTATCTTCCCAACTCCGTGCTGATAGTGTTTATAGAGAATCACAGGGCTGGAAGGAACACAAGGGCCATGTAGTCCAACCCTGCCTTCTTCAGAGTAAAGGTAACCCCTGCTTAGTTTATAAAAAGGGTGAACTTGCAGGCAAGAAGGACCAGAAGCTCTAATCTCTCCCAGGTCAGATATATTCCACAGGTGGGACTAGTGAAAATTGGGGTGGGTGTAAGTCACCTACAAAAAGGAGAAAGGTGAGGAGCCAAGATGGGTGAAATCATAGAATCATAGAATCAAAGAGTTGGAAGAGACCTCATGGGCCACCAGTCCAAACCCCTGCCAAGAAGCAGGAATATTGCATTCAAATCACCCCTGACAGATGGCCATCCAGCCTCTGTTTAAAAGCTTCCAAAGAAGGAGCCTCCACCACACTCTGGGGCAGAGAGTTCCACTGCTGAACGGCTCTCACAGTCAGGAAGTTCTTCCTCACGTTCAGATGGAATCCCCTTTCTTGTAGTTTGAAGCCATTGTTCCTTGTTCTAATCTCCATGGAAGCAGTAAAACAAGCTTGCTCCCTCCTCCCTGTGGCTTCCTCTCACATATTTATACATGGCTATCATATCTCCTCTCAGCCTTCTCTTCTTCAGGCTAAACATGCCCAGCTCCTTAAGCCGCCCCTCATAGGGCTTGTTCTCCAGACCCTTGATCATTTTAGTCGCCCTCCTCTGGACACATTCCAGCTTGTCAATATCTCTCTTAAATGGTGGTAGCCAGAAATGAGCCAAAGCACCAGACCAAATAGATGATCCCAAAGAAAAAAATCCTTGTTTGTTTCCTCTGCTCACCAGGATTGGGGTTTAGTGTATTTTTATATATATTTATATCCCACTCATCTTACATTGTTGAAGGTGGGATACATAGTTGCCCAACTTTATCTTCATAACAATCTTGTGAAGTAGATGATGTTGATACTGGTTGGCCTAAAGTTGCATTGCAATTTCTCAATTCCCAATTATAATACTTTGGTAGTAGAAAGACAGAGGGGAACACTATTAATACAGCCTTGAAATTGTTAAGGAAATGTGGGATAAGTTTGATTCATTAATCATTCATTTTAATGACACTTAATTTGTAGAAGTACTGCACATTTGACCTAACTCCTCCATTCAACTTTCCACTCAAACTACACTAATTCAGACACTTTGTTACAAGTGTATGTTTACAATTAAGGATTTTATGAGGAAATGGTAAGGAAACGAACCTGCTAGAATTCGTAAAATAATATAGAGAGTAGTGGAGTACCTATATGTCATCATATTCCCTATATACATACACCTTCCCATGCTTTCCTATCACTTCTTCCATATTTTCTTTTATCACCCAATTTCTCTTAAAGATGGACCTTTTTTAACTTCGGAAAATAATGCTGTTTGCTAAATGTGCAATTTCAGAAGGAAGAAAAATGGTTAAGATTTTTGAATATTCCTATCAGGAAGCAAATAAATAAATAAAATTGTGGATTACTGCAGAGCTCAGAATGTTCTCTCTCTGACATGACACCCAAACCCACTCGAAACCCACCTTGTTCATCCCTTTTGCATTCAAATAATTATGTGGTGGCCAATGAAGAACAAGAGACATCTGAAAATCTGGTTTTATTCCCATAGCCAGATACATTACGATGACACCATCCTCTAGAACAGCATTTCCCAAGTGTTTGACTTCCAAATGTTTTGTTCTCCAACTCCCATAATTTCCGGTTGTTGACTAAGCTGTAGGTTGAAGTGCAAAACAATTAATGGGCCAACATTTTGGAATCAATGCTCTATAACCTTCAGAGGACTTCTTGGAAGTCCCTGAAAAAACCTTCACCCAGGTAAAAGGACATAGCTAGATGCTTCTCAGGTGTCATCTTTTCTTCACTAACCACTATGTTTGGTCCAGATCCATCATTGGTGGGCTTCAGAGTGGGTCTGGATACAGGGTGAACTACAACTCCCAACTGGGTAGGTCAGTCTCCCCCAAATCCCTCCAGTATGTTTTGTTGGTTCTATTTATTATTTATTTATTTACTTTGCTTATATACCGCTGTATCTCAAGCCCGAAGGCGACTGGTTCTAGGGGTTCTGTGTGCCAAGTTTGGCCCAGATCCATCATTGGTGGGCTTCAGTGTCCTCTGGATGCAAGGTGAACTACAACTCCCACCCTGATGGGTCAATCCCCCCTAAACCAGCCACGTACATACATCCAACATGGGAGCACAAAAATTGTGAGTTTAGAAAGAGAAAAAGCAGAAGACATGGTGCTTGAGTAACTTTACAATGCAGAATCTTAGCCAATGTATTTATTGATTTTAATTATTTACTAGATTATTGTCTAAAGGCCTAGAGAATAGTCCTCTTATACTTTAACCACCGCTTTCCTCTCTCTTGTTGCTTCCCCTACATCTTTCTTCTCCAGCCACCCTGATGCATCCACTTCATTAAGCAATGTTTCCCCAGCACGGCTGCAGCGATCTGAAACCAAAGATGTAACACAGCCCCTTCTGGCAGAACATCAGCAAATTGAGATGAAGACCTTTCTTCCTGATCCAGAGCAGGTAAAGCAGCTTTAGGCCTTTCGATTTAGGACATGGGAAGAAAACGTATTTTGTGAATACAGATCCAGGAACTCTAAGACTAGAACCTGGACTGACCCATCTTAAGCCTAGGACTGATTTGTGCATGGGTCTGATTTGAGGCCTCTTCAGGCACAAAATGAACAAAAAGCAGCAAGTCTGATCTTCAGTCAGAAATCACACACCCAGTAACATTGCCAGTTTATGATTATTCCAGATCCTGAGATTTCTGAGCCCAAATCTGAGACTTATTAGAGATGGCCCCTAGTGATGTCATGAAACATTATGGACTAAGTACGAAGCAGAGTTGCTGATACTTAAATATACACCTGCACTGTTTGAAATTATTGGGGAAAAAATCCTAGGTGAAGGGCCTATTCTTAGGTCAATGTGATTTTAGATCAGGGGTCCCCAAACTAAGGCCCGTGGGCCAGATACAGCCCTTCAAGGTCATTTACCTGGCCCTCGCTCAGGGTCAACCTAAGTCTGAAACGATTTGAAAGCACACAACAACAGCAATCCTACCTCATCAGCCAAAAGCAGGCCCACACTTCCCATTGAAATACAAATAGTTTATATTTGTTAAAATTGTTTGTCATTTTAATTATTGTATTGTTTTAAAGTGTTTATTGCACTACAAATAAGATACGTGCAGTGTGCATTGGAATTCATTCATGTTTTTTTCAAATTATAATCCGGCCCTTCAACAGTTTGAGGGACTGTGACCTGGCTCTCTGTTTAAAAAGTTTGAGGACCTCTGTTTTAGATTATTCCCAACTTTTCTTTGACCAGGAACCCCTTGACCAGGGATCACTTTGATCAGGGTCCACTCTCCATCCTTGGTACCAAAAGGGTTATGAATCAGATTTTGGTTGACTTTAGATTCGGTTTGGTTATTTGGGGTGCTGATTCAGACATTGCATTGGATAGAACACATCAGCTCTACTTTCTGATACAGAACATATGCCATCCAGTAGCCACCATCTGTTCACCCACAGAAAATCATATTTAATAATCTAATGTGGTCTATCCTATGCAATTTTCTGAATCAGCACCCCCCCCCCAAAAAAAAAAACAAAAACACAGAAACAGGCCTAAACACAAAAACACCAGGCCATCCCCGCTTTCAGGCGCCACATGGAATGGCTCTGCTCAGGGGGAGGGAAGAAGAGAAGAAGCAGCAGTCAGGAGTCTTTTCATGGGTAGTCAGCCTCTCCCCTCACAACATCCCCGGTGCCTCGATAATATAAGAGGGTTTCGCAAGACCAATCGCTCTCGTTGCAATGGTGTAGTAATGGTGAGGCCGCAGACCATATTTGAGTTCTTGGGGACCACTGAGTTAGAGACTCCGAATAAGTAACATCTAGACTGTTTAGAAGACTAGCTAGAAGACTGATAGAGAGTAGAGTGGAGGGCGAAGTCAGCTACCACAATGAATAGAAGGTGAGGAAAAAGGTAAATATATAAATCCCCTGGAATGTTTTTGAAAGTTGTAGAAATAACTCAATTAAGACTTGCAAATTTAGTGAGCTGTTTGCTGCTAGATGAACATTTCTTTTTTTTTTCTTTTTTTGTTCAAATTGCACTACCTATCAATACAATCTGGCCTGATTTCAAGCTATTAGTGATGAGATTTAAAGCACTAAATGACATGGAACCTTAATATTTGAACATCTGTTCCCATATATGCCTACCTGAGGTTTGCTAGAAAGCATTTCTTATGTGTTCTGCAAATGAGAGTAATATACTGTGGGAGGCTGTCAGGAAGGCCTTTTTGACTGTGACACTACACTTGTGTGTGATCGGCACCAATGCCAGTTTCACTCTGATGAGAGAATGAAAAAATATTTTTTAAAAACCCCTTGATTTTCGTTTTTATCCAGAAATTAAAAACCATTTACAGACACATGGTTTTTAATTTTAAAATTTCTTTAAAACAGAACATGCCCATATTCAGAAGGACATCCCATTTAGATGGATTTACCATCCAATATATGTTTTGGTGCCCCAGGTGGCACAGTAGGTTAAACCACTGAGCTGCTATGCTTGTTGACCAAAAGGTCGCAGGTTCGAATCCGGGAAGCGGCATGAGCTTCTGCTGTCAGCCTCAGCTTCTGCCAACCTAGCAGTTCAAAAACATGCAAAATGTGAGTAGATCAATAGGTACCGCTCCAGCGGAAGGTAACAGCGCTCCATGCAGTCATGCTGGCCACATGACCTTAGAGGTGTCTACGGACAACACTGGCTCTTCGGCTTAGAAATGGAGATGAGCACCACACCCCAGAGTCGGACACGACTGGACTTAATGTCAGGGGGAAACCTTTACCTATATGTTTTGGATTACAGCCTGAGTCTACAATGTTTGTCCTGTTTTTATGGAGGAAGATACAAAATATTTAATCTGAGAGTAGATTTCTGTTCCAGTTGTCAGTGCTCTGTTTTGTAAAATTAGGAAGGTGTTTATTACAGGTTTTCCTAGTATTTGCTTTGACTCAAGAATACATACAAAGTGTCTGAGGCAACAATAGGAATGTTGTGCTTTTCTAGAAGTTTTTGCATTAATAATTCAAGTGACACTTGCCAGCATAGCCAATGGAGATGAATCCAATCCAACAACAGTTATTGGTCCAGATCAAGCATCCTCAAACTGTAGCCTTTCAGCCATTTGGGCTTCCAACTCCCAGAAGCTCTAACAAGCTTGCTCAATTGTCAGGAATTCTGGGAGTTGAAGGCCCAACCAGCTGGAGGACCACAGTTCGAGGATGCCTGGTCCAGATTAATCTTACCCTTCCAGTAGCAGCAAATTGTTAAACATCTAATTCAGCACATAAAAATTAAGAATCCTTCGACAGATTTTCAGTTTTTTAAAGTAGTGAGCAGAGAACAACCCCTTGAATGATCCTTGACTGCCCTCCACAGCATTTTCCTATTAATTTTCTTGTTTTAGGGTGAGCCGAGTAGCACTGCTTTTAAGAAGCCACTTTCAGAGAAGATTTCCCCTGATGCAGAAGCCACACTGGTTTTGGTTGGTAAGTAGTATGTAAAATGTCAGTGCAAAATGGAACTTGTTGTGTGGGAGGGGGCAACTGGGAGGTCAGAGGGCTGGAATCCAGCATTGTCTCTGCTCTTGCAAAATATATTGTATATATCAGGTACTTTACCCCATTGCCCAATAGACTCCAAACATCCTCTGAGGGACAGGTGAACATTCTTATCATGTTTTTGTTTGTTTGTTTGTTTGTTTGTTTATTTATTTATAGTATTTATATTCTGCCCTTCTCACCCCGCAGGGGACTCAGGGCAGATTACAATGCGTATTCAATGCCATTAGACATACAACATATATAGACAGATTCAAAGGCCATTTAACATTCCAGCATTCCAGATTCACAAGGGTATGGTCGATTCTGGCCACAGGGGGAGCTGCCGCTTAACCGTCCACTTGTGACACCGAGTCCTTGATGGAGTACTTCCTCATTCTTATGCATGCTGCTGGAAGGTTTTATGGTTTCATAAATTAATTAAATTAGCCTCCCTGTATAAAGTGGTACCAAAATTTCCTACTTGACAGATGCATAGGACAACAGTAAGCTAGGCTATTAATGGTCAGGAGCTCACTCTGACCCAGGCTGACTTCGAACTCATGACCTCTCGGTCAGTAGTGATTTAACACAGCTGGCTACTAACTAGCTGTGCCACAGCCCGGTCATTCCTGGCCCATTAGAGGACATTTTTGAGCATTTTGAGCAGTCCAAGGGATTCCGAATATGGTAAACAAGCCCTCCACATCCCTAGAGGTAATTTTGAAGCATGTTACAGCAAAAAATATTTTTGGAGGAAGACTTATCTTTCTTTTTTAATTGCCTTTTCTTTTTCTCATTTAAAGGTGAACAGGGCCAAATCTAACATTTCAAAATGGTTAGGCAGATGTAAAATGTATGTCCAAATGAGCCTGGACTATTTTAACATTTGAGGTGGAAATCATCAAAAGATTCTCTCCATATGCTGCCAGATTGACAAACCAATAGACAGACAGACAGATAGATAGTCAGGCAGACAGGCAGGCAGATAGAAATTTCCCACAATTTATCAGATTTGTTGTCTCACACGTCTATAGTTATATCTGATTATTTTGCACCATAACGGGATGTCCGTCCTTCTACGAGTAATAGGCTAATCACGCAAGATTTTGTCCCTCTATTGCATGTGCTTCTGGCAAGGGAAGAGCTGTGCTTTGCTTCTCTATCTGGCTTGTCAAAACTTGATTGCCAACTTTGCTCACTTTTGCTATCTCTCGTTTTCTTCCCTTTTGCCCATTCTCTTCCATCCCTTTGCTTCTGCTTGGATCCATTCCCTTCCTGCCCATGGTCTGCCTTTCTCATTCTCTTTGTGCCAAGGCTCCTAAATGATGCCCCATACCCATCCATCCTCCCTTCAGGCTGTGCCACCTTCCTGGAGCGCCCAACTTTGGCCTTTGTACGCTTGAAAGATGCTGTAGAGCTGGACTCTGTCCTGGAGGTCCCTGTACCTGTCAGGTTCCTCTTTGTGGTTCTGGGCCCGGATTCCCCTCATACCAGCTACCATGAGATTGGGAGAGCCATCTCAACAATGATGTCTGAAAGGGTAAGTAGGAATCTCTCATCACATCAAATTGTGTGAAGATGGGAACTATGGATCCCTTGAAACCAATCTGATTGTCATGAGTGTGACAGTTAACTAAGAACACACTTGAACTGGACCACAAATTTTAGAGAGGAACTGGGCTCAGATAGACAATGAGAGGGACTTGGGCCCCCTATACACTGCCTTATAATCCAAGATAGTGCTGAGAGTGCCTTGGACTGCGAGAAGATCCAACCAGTCCATCCTCCAGGAAATAAAGCCTGACTGCTCATTGGAGGGAAGGATACTAGAGACAAAGTTGAAGTACTTTGGCCACATCATGAGGAGACAGGAAAGCCTAGAGAAGACAATTATGCTGGGGAAGGTGGAAAGTAAAAGGAAGAGGGGCCGACCAAGGGCAAGATGGATGGATGGCATCCTTTAAGTGACTGGACTGACCTTGAAGGAGCTGGGGGTGGTGACAGCCGACAGGGAGTTCTGGCGTGGGCTGGTCCATGAGGTCACAAAGAGTCGGAGACGACTGAACGAATGAACAACAACATCTGCCTTGAACTGAATTATAAGAGTCTACACTGCCATATAATCCAGTTCAAAGCAGATAATCTGGATTTTATTTGGCAGTGTAGGTGGGGCCTTGGAGAGAAGATAAATAGGTAGATAGATCCAATTGTCTGCGTTTGAAGACAGAAAAGACAATCAAGTTGCCCTGCTAGTAGAATATTCAGAAATGAAGGCCAATTTGATACAAGGATGAAAGTAATTCTTAATTTATCATTTATTTTAGGATGGAGAACTTGTAGTCTATAGTCTATAAAGTGTTATATAAGGCCTCATAGCAAGTTAGGTTCAAAACAGCCTCTAATTGGTTTAGAGGAGTGGCAATTTAAAAGCCAATTTGACTTGAATAAAGAAATGTTTCCCGTGTTTTCAATATGAGTCTTTTAAAACCCTTTGTTGTTGGCGGTGTTGTGTGTGAGAGACAGACAGACATGCAGACAACCAGGACAAATATCTGAGAAGTGTGTAGCTTTGCATGTATGTGTGCAACACCCAAAATTTTATTTATAAAGGAAGAATGTGGTTTTCAATACAAAAAGGTTCCACTACCCCTATATCCACACTGCTGCTTTCGATGGTATTTTCAGTGTTTGAAGCCTTTGACATATATTATCACCATAATATTTAGAAGAGCTCGGTAGGGTAGGGTAGGGTTGGGTAGGGTAAGGTAGGGTAGCATAGCATTCTTGTGGTGCATGAATTGATATAGGCACAGTTAGATTTTAAGATGTTCAAAATGTAACATATAACATCAATGAACCAGGTTTTTCAAATTCAGATAAAAACAAAAGAGGAAAATAGCTCAATTTTTTCAACCATTTCTTCACAATTGTATCTGGGATTTTTTTAAATACTTTTTCTAAATAAAACAAACATCCCAGTGACTTGTGCTGAGGAGATTTTGCTGCCTTGGAAATTATTTTTAACCCAGAATTGGAAATAAGAGAAGAGTCCCCATTTTGTAAGCCATGCCAAGGCATTTTTGCTACTAGTTAGTTCAAGTGTGAGAAATCTTTGACCCTGTTTTGGATGATGAGTTCCATAATCCTTTATTCGTAGTCTCGATAAGGAGGCAGTTTGGAATTCAGAACATCAAGGAGACTAATTGTTCCCCACTTTGAGTTGTGTTTTTTTTTGTTTTTGTTTTTCAAAAAAATCACTCCATTTTCTTTGGGTAGGTGTTTCGCAATGATTCCTACTTGGCTGAGGGAAGGACAGACCTTGTGAAAAGCATGGAGACGTTCCTGGACTGTTGCATTGTCCTCCCTCCTAGTGACATCCAAAGTGAAAAACTCCTCAAGACATTACTGCCAGTGCAAAAGGAGCTCCTACGGAAGAGGTACCAGCCAATGGAGAAGAAGGTGTCACCAGAGACTGAGCTCTTGAAAGACTTAGGTATGGCCCAATATATTAAACACAAGAAAGTTTGAAGTTCTCACAACCTTTGAAGATGCTTGCTATAGATGCAGGTGAAATGTCAGGAGAGAATGCTTCTAGAACGTGGCCATATAGCCCAAAAAACCTACAACACCCCACAAGAAAGTTTGCCGGCTGGCTTTCAGACTTCAAAACATGGAGGAGAGCCGTAGTGAATTGCTTTCAGGAGACAGTAGGGTTGAAAAGTGCCTGAAAGCTATTAGCCATCTCCTAGACATTCTGCTCTCTCATTCCAAACGCATGGGAATACAAGAAGCCCAGGTTGTTGTAACTGTACCACTGAAACACAGTCATAAGCATTGGGTGATGCAATTCAGCAACATGGCTAAGCATGCAAGATGTGTCCAGATACCTTCACAGCATAGCATGAAGGAGAATAACTGGGGGAAGCTAGGAAGGGGTATAAATGGGAGAACAAGATTTCCATCAGTCAGATAATGGAACATCGGTACTTTCCTTGGTTTTGCTCCTACTTTTGCAGAAGACAGTTGGGAAAATAAGTAAACGTGTATATATGCATGGTTTAGAAAGTTCCTATGAAAAATAAAATGTGTATTAGACACAACCCTGATGAGAAAGTGTTTTGTACATGTTCCATAGCACATACACCAGTTTGCTATCATTTTGTATATTTCACAAACAGACTGAGCTTTGATTCATATTAAACCCAAACAGCAGTGACAGTTGGTGGCATCCTATCGATGAGATGGCGAATTTGCTCCAGGTTTTAGACCATTACAGGAGCTATCCAAGGTGTTAGACCATACCTCAAAAATAGGTTCAGTCTAATTAAATTTCAGACTGAAAGTCAGACATTTACCACCCTCACTGATATGATAACCATCACTACAGGCAACTCTGCAACCATTACAGAGCTGGTGTCTGCACGTTAGCATCCTTGGCTAATTGCTGGGCCCTCATACTCAGGGTGGAGGCTGCTATTTATGTCTGTGCTGCCAACTTCAATTTTTCCTGATCTGGCACTATGGGCAACTCTAGGCAATTTGGTCTAGCCATAGTTTAAATCCTCAAGGCTATCCAAATCTTGCCAAGAAAACCTCTATGGTAGGTTCGCCTTAGGGTTGCTGTAAGTAATAAATGACTTGAAGAAACTCAACAACAAAGCATCACTCTGGAGTACTGTGAGAAAGTACCTATGTTCTTGGATCAGACTCCAAGTATTCCTCAGGTCTCCTCAAATCAGGAGCCAACCATGGGCCAATGTTCCTGTATTTTAAAGCTATCTGACATGATTTTGAAGAAAGCAACTCCAAAGATCTTCATCATAGGCTGGATCTACACTGCCCTATATCCCAGTATCTGATCTCAGAATATCTGCTTTGAACTGGATTATATGAGTCTACACTGACAGATAATCTGGGATAAGCAAATAATCTGGGATCAGATCCTGGGATATAGGGCAGTGTAGATCCAGTCTAAGAACAAGGCTTGAATCTTGTGAGGTCCTTTTTTAAAAACCAACCTTCCTTCACCTGGTCTTTTCATTGTCTGTTCTTCTGTCTCAATCAGAGAAAGAACTGAAAGCCCATGCCCTGAAAGGAGGTGATGATGATGATGATGATGATGACCCTTTGCGTAGGACCAAGAGACCATTTGGGGGACTGGTGAGGGACATAAAACGCCGATACCCCAAGTATCTTAGTGACATCAAGGATGCCCTTAATGCCCAGTGTCTGGCTGCAGTCATCTTCATCTACTTTGCTGCCCTTTCTCCTGCCATTACTTTTGGGGGCCTTCTGGGTAAGAAATTATTCCCTATCTATGATGGAATTCTACCTACTTACGACTACTCTTATCAGGTTATCTCTCTTACATACTGATTTTTGTACTGCAAAACCTGTTTGCCTGCAGGAACAGTGAAACAAAGGAAGTAATATGTGTATCCCAGATAGTTCACTATCTCTTTGCATATGGGTCCCAGAGATAAGGTCCTGGCCCTGAAACTTGAGGCTCTACACAATGTATTGTCAAGTGGAAGAGGAGAAATCTCACCTCAAGAATGCAGACACATGCCTTAAAAATATGTGTTGGTTAGATCGGTTTCTGGGTATTTCAAGAATGGCATTATATTTCCTCTATCATCTCCAGTTTCTGAGATACAGAGTATACAGAGTATATCAGCTGCTCACCCATAAAACATCATGATAACCATATCTTAGCAACTACAGCTGATACTGTCTATTCAATACAATTTTCTGAATCAGAGCCCCAAAAAATTCCAGGAACAGACTTAAAAACCAAGACACCCATTTGTTTTTTGTTGGGCTGTGTAGTTAATGTATCATGTTCAATACATTATGAAGAACTGCACTTTGCAGCATCACTCTTATAATATACCAGGGCTTATCTCCTGTTGACATCACTAGCGATCATTCCTAAGTCTCAGGTTTTGACCTCAAAAGCTCAGGACCCAGGATGGTTGTTGACCTGGTATTCCTTTCCTAGTAGTCATGTTTGTTTACAGGCATAAGGTTTTTCAACTCAGAAATGAGAAGCTGTTTCACAATGATGCTCCTGGGATCTCTGAGTTTTTCAAGAGAGAAAAGGAAAGTCCTAGCCTCAGTCTTTTGAGCAAGCTGAAGAAGACAACTATAAGGAATAGGAACTGTTTAAAAGGACAGCATAGCACATCTTTCCTGTTAATACCGGTTGCTCTTTCCAGATGAGAAGACTAACAGCATGATGGGAGTATCTGAGCTTCTTCTCTCCACTTCAGTCCAAAGCGTAATGTTCTGTTTGCTTGGAGCTCAGCCTTTGCTTGTGCTTGGATTTTCTGGTCCCCTTTTGGTCTTTGAAGAAGCCTTTTATAAGGTAAGCATCATGTTATAGAGTCCTTGATAAAATGTTTACATCCCAGTTGAATGATGGCCTGTTTCCTGTGTTGAAGAAGACATGAAATGGCTATCTAGTACCATTTGTCTTGCCCACACCATCATTCATATATTACATACTAGCTTGGGGACCCGGCACTGCCCAAGTTATTTGAGAAAGGAATTGTGTATCAAGGTTGGTCTTTATCAGTTACATCCACTAACTTCCTGTGACCACAGCAACACTCATCCAATTACCAATACAGACCAAACTTGGCACAGAGAGCCCTCATGGGCAACTGAACACTCTGGTGCAGTTTAGGGAGGGTCGCAGTGATCTCCGAAATTAAGTCCCATCATCCATGGTCCATCCTCCTCCAATCTGGACCATGGTGTAGTGTGTCATGGGGACTCTGTGTGCCAAGTGTGGTCTTTATCGGTCTTTGTTGGGGTCTGCAGTAGTCTGTGGGAACAATAGAGGTGGGAAAGTACTACAAATCTCATCATCCATTGTCCATCCTCCCCCAACCCTCATCAGGTCGTAAAGAAGATCAAGGGGGTTATGTGTGCCAAGTTTGGTCTTGATTGGTCATTGGATGAGGGTCGCAGCAGTCTCGGGAAGTGAGTGGAGGCACTTCAAGTCCCATCATCCATGGTCCACCCTCCTCCAAACTGCAGTAGGATGTAGAGTGGGTCATGGGGGCTCTGTGTGCCAAGTTTGGTCTTTATCGGTCTTTGTTGGGGGCCACAGTGGTCTGTGGGAACCGATGGGTTTGAAAGTACTACAAATCCCATCATCCTTTGTCCTCCCCCAAACCTCACCAGGATGTAAAGGGGGTCATGGGGGTTATGTGTGCCAAGTTTGGTCCAGGTCCGTCACCCGTGCTGGTCACAGTGGCCTGTGAAAGTGGCAGCCAATCAGAAAGCTGCCACATACACCATCCTCCCTCCGCATACAAACACTGACTTTTATTATATACATAGACGGCAATGTGATGGCTACTGACTTAGATAGCTTTCAAAAAAGGATAAACAAAACTGAAAGTGCTAGAAGATCTTTGGTTATTAGCCACAATATAATATGGGGCCTCTAGCTTCACTTGCAGGATATCTCTTATTACCAGATGCTTGAGAACAACTGAGATTATTCTTAACCCCATTGTGAGATTCTCAATGCTTTTATTAGATCACTCTGGGAGGTAAAAGGGTGGCTTAGCCAGATATTGATCCAGAAAATGATTCTTATCTAATTGGGCATCGATCAACACCACATATTTTCAAGTGAGCAGCTACAATTTCCATTATCCTTAACGGCATGATTATAAATCACGCTGGGTTGGGGATGATAAGAAGTGTACTCACAGACATCTGGAAAACAGCAAGCTGAAGACAAGTGTAAGGGATAGAAATTGTAAAAAAAAAATAGCATAGCATATCAAGATTGTAAATATCCCATCAGTTACTAAATTATGGGCTTTTGTGATCCAAAGCCTGTGGAATAAAGAGCAGACTAAAGAAGAAAATGGGTATCAAAAAGGGATTGATATACAAAATAATAATAGAGATTAAAGGGGGAGGATACAAACAAGGGAACTATGGGAGGAAGAATTGGGAATAAAAATAGGGGAAAGAAATTGGGAAAAATTATGGACATCAAGACACCTCAATAATTTATCCATTAGAACAGGGGTCCTCAAACTAAGGCCCGAGGGCTGGATATGGCTCTCCAAGGTCATTTACTAGGCCCTCACTCAGGGTCAACATAAGTCTGAAATGATTTGAAAGCACACAACAACAACAACAGCAACAGCAACAACAACAACAACAACCCTATCTCATCAGCCAAAAGGAGACCCACACTTCCCATTGAAATACTAATAAGTTTATATTTGTTAAAATTGTTCTTCATTTTAATCATTGTATTGTTTTTAAGTGGTTTTTGCACTACAAATAAGATATGTGCAGTGTGCATAGGAATTCATTAATTTTTTTCAAATTATAATATCCGGCCCTCCAACAGTTTGAAGGACTGTGACCTGGCCCTCTGTTTAAAAAGTTTGAGGACCCCTGATTAGAATAAAAGAAAACTACTACAAGATCGTATGGATCCCAATAAAGATACGCCGTATGGACAAGACCTGTTGAGAAAAATGTTGGCGGGGTGTCCAAGAAAGGGGAACATATATTCATATTTGGTGGCAATGCAAATATGTACAGAAGTTTTGGGGAAAAGTTATAGTAGAGATAGAAAGTATTATAAAGAAAAAAATAATATAAATCCGGCAACTATACTATTATCTATTTATAATACAGATGTATGGAATGAAAATGAAAATAATTTAATAACACTGTTGTTAACGGCTGCAAGCAAAAAAAAATGGGAAGGGAGAGGTGGAAATTAAGATAGAAGAATGGTATAAGGAAATCTGGAAATTAGCAATAAATGATGAATTAATATGTAATCTAAAAGTTTAAAAAGGCGTAAGGAAGAATAATGATTTTGAAAGTATATGGAAAAATTTTGTCGAAGGAACATTAAAGAAAGAAGATGGGAACCAACCCCCACCAGAAGAAATGAGGTTCTGGTGGGACCATAAAGAAAAGAAGATAGGGAGCACAACAGGTAGCATAATGGGGAAAAGGAAAAGAAATAATTATATCACTTGTGGGGATTTTTTTTGTAACAAAACGAATAGAAATGTAATTTTAAAAAAGAAAAAGGGAACCATAACATGCACCATAATGTTGCCTCATAAATAAACATTTTGGTGATTAAATAAAATTTGCCATAAAAAAGCCTGTGGAATATATATTGTTGTTATGCGCCTTCAAGTTGACTGTTGAGTTTCCTTGACAAATTTAATCAGAGGGAGCTTCTAATTGTCTTCTTCTAAGGTTCAGAGAAAGTGACTTCCCCAGTGTGGGTGATTGGGGATTTAAACCCAAATCTAGTCCTAGTCCAAGATTCAAAGAACTATACCACATATATAGACAAATGTATTATTTTAAAAGTTTTTTTGGAGGAGCAAGCCTGAAGATCCAACATGGTTGATACAGTTGTTTAGTTCCAAAGGAAGTGGAAGTCAGGAAAAGTAGTCTTCATTGCTCATTGCAGGGAAGAGCAAGAACTGCCAGTGTTTCACTAGCTTCTGTATTTTTCTCTACCTTTCTCCCTTTATTTCTATACCTAGTTTTGCAAAGATGGTGGGTATGAATATATCGTGGGAAGAGTCTGGATTGGCTATTGGCTCATAATCCTGGTGGTGATCATAGTGGCTTGCGAGGGCAGCTTCCTGGTGCGCTTCATCTCCCGTTACACCCAGGAGATCTTCTCCTTCCTCATCTCTCTCATCTTCATTGTGGAGACTTTCGTCAAACTTATCAAGGTAGTATGTTTGTTTGTTTTTTTAAAAAAATGGTTGTGAGATCTGCTTATTGCTCATTGTCTTGATTGTAACATACTTATAGGTCAGCAGGCAGCAGAAGCACAGAACAACATGACAGTCTTTATATTGGGAAATTTGTAAATGTTTAGGTGGCTCAATAGATTAAAATGTCAATTTAAGCCAAATTCTATTACTGAGCAGTTGGAGAGGATTAAATTCTCGATGCCATGTTTTTTCAGACCCATATAACAAATTATTTATTTATTTACAGTATTTATATTCCGCCTTTCTCACCCTGCAGGGGATTCAGGGCGGATTACAATGTATGTATACATGGCAAACATTCAATGCCATAGACACACAACATATATAGACAGACACACAGAGGCTATTTAACATGTCAGCTTTTTCATGAGGATATTCTGGCCACCAGGGGAGCTGTCGCTTCACCGTCCATTTGTGACACTGATGAAGTACTTCCTCATTCTTTGCATGCTTGCTGGAGATTTTTATGGTGTCGTAAGTTAGCCTCCCCACATAAGTGGTACCTAAATTTCTTACTTGACAGATGCAACTGTTTTACGGGCTGCAAAGATCGACAGCAAGCTACACAAATTGTTTGGAAGCTCACTCCGATCCGGGCTGGCTTCGAACTCATGACCTTTTGGTCAGTAGTGATCTTAATGCAGCTGACTCCCAGCCAGCTGCGCCACAGTCCCGATAAATGTAGTTCTAAGCTTGTTTGGGAACCTTACCACTGGTTGTTTTTTTTTCCACCCGATAAAAAAATCAAGTTGGAGAAATGTAAAGTTTTGACTAAGGTCACCCTCTAAGTCTATGAGTGAATTTAAATAATAATAATAATAATAATAATAATAATAATAATAATAACACTTTATTTGTACCCCGCTACCATCTCCCCAAGGGACTCGGTGAGGCCGAGCCCGAATACAACATGAGGCCGAGCCCAAATACAACAATACAAGCAATAATAACAGCACAAGCAAATTAAATAAAACATAGACAAAAAATATACAACATTATCAATAAGACAACACACAATTAAAACAGTGGGAAGGCCAAATGTAAAATTAAAATTGGAAGTAATGCTGGGACATGGACGAGAAGGTGATAGTGGCGTTTGTGGAAGGGCATACGAGCAGACCTAAAAAATGTAAAGTGCTTTGGAGGACAAGGTGCTATGGAATCAATTATTCTGGGAAGGCACACTGGAAAAACCATGTCTTCAAGCTCCTCCTAAAGACGGCCAAAGTTGGGGCCTGTCTGATGTCTTTAGGGAGTGAGTTCCAGAGTCGAGGGGCCACCACCGAAAAGGCCCTCTCTCTTGTCCCTACCAATCACGCCTGCGATGCTGGTGGGATCGAGAGCAGGGCCTCTCCGGATGATCTTTATTGAATAGATAAAGAAAGATATTTGCTAAAGTTCAAGTGACTGGCTGAGGCATCGCTGTGTCCTTTGTCTCACCTTATGAAACAGCTACCTGCCTGTATAACTTTGAGCACTATTACTCACATTACAACATCTATTATAGGATTCCTTCTTTCTGAATTGTTTTGGGTAGCTGTGCCTCCCACTCCCACGTTTAGGAAGCTGGATTTTCAAGATATGGTTACCATAGAAACTAAAGAGCAAAAGGAAAAAGGAAAGGAAAGATGCAGAAAGAAAGGGGCATGAATCATTTATTTCAAAATGATCATTTCAGTTTCAAACTAGATGTTAATTAAAATATTTCTAACCTATTGTGTAAACCTGTTTCCCCTCCCACAAGAGGATTCCCTCAGATATGTGTCTAAGCAATTAGAGTTGCAGATTAAATCAATATTTTACTGCCAGTGACAAAACACAAAACAAAGCATGCCGAAGGCAAAATAGATAGGGAAGGAAAAGAATGCGCTACAACAAACAGATGTCATTCTACTGAATAGGGGAGCGATTCTGCATCCAATGTGTTAAATATATTGTATAGTTTGACCTGACTTGGAGAATTTGATTGGGATAAAGTAAATACTGCAGGGCAGCTGAAAATAAAAGGCTTTGGGAAGCGAATGTTTAAGGGACAAGGAGCAGAAAGACCAGACGAACTCATAAACATTAATATCTTGTGATTGTGGTATACTAAGAAGAGAAACCATTAGATTTATGTATAAGACTCATAAGGACGTGTATTTCTAGTATTTCTTTATCTACTAAAAATGCATATCCCAAACAATGGGGGGAAGGTTTCAGCTGCTACCAAATCAACTGCATCTTTCGAATATTTTCTACAAAATTACGTGAGATAATGAAATTGTTTGTTTCCACTCATTCAAGTATCCTGGGCTTGAAGATTTTTTTTTAATCCAAAAAACACATCTTGATCTTTCTATTTTATATAAGTGACATATCTCTACTATGCCGTTGTATGTTTTGGGACTTGAGCATCCACAAATTTTGGTAGGTATTGCAACTAAACCCTGTAGATTTATTTATTTATTTGCAGTATTTGTATTCCGCCCTTCTCACCCCGAAGGGGACTGAGAGCAGATCACAGAACACATATTCTTTTTAAATTGTTTTTTGATTGAGAATAAAAGATTCCAGAAAAGAAAAGGTATAAGATATTTGTTTACATAAAAAGTGGGTGAACAATGTGAATAAAAAAAAGTAGAAAAAATGAAGGAGTTAAAAAAATAGAAAGAAAGAAAAAGAAAAGAAGAGAAAAAATAATTTAATAAAAAGAAGAAGAAAAAGCTGAAAAGATATAGTTGTACTTCCAGGTCTCTTCCAGCTCGGAAGATCTTTATTTATCTGGTAACAAGATCTTTATTTAGCTGGTAACAGCAGGATTTGCCTGGCCCAGTTGTGGAAAACACAAGAAACAACCACTATTGAACAATGAATTTTAAAAGTAATGGATATTATGAACATGGATTTGTTAACACAAAAAATAGCACAGAATGACCTACAATCACAAAGAACAGACTGGGGAAAGTTCATGGAATTCTTAAATAGAGAAAAGATAAAGATATATGTAAAAATGACTTAAAGGAAAGGTAAAACAGAAAGCAAAAGAAAGAAAGAAAGAAAGAAAGAAAGAAAGAAAGAAAACCGACACAAAGAGAAAGAAATAGTGAATTAAAAGAAGGTAGAACATATATTCGGCAAACATTCAATGCACTGACAAACATTCAATACACTGACAAGAGAGACAATTATACATATATAGAGATATATATAGGCTTTCTCATCTTCGGCATCTTGGAGGCTGTGCTTAAGGGGTGGGGTGCTGTCACTCCATCTTCCCTGCTGAAGAGCTTTCTCCAGAAACTTCCAAGGACCAACTGTTCATAGTAGGATGAACTATACCGTTTCAGACTGCAGGTGGAAAATTCAATTTTTTTACATTAGGAATATATTAAATGCTATCTCCCAACTGCAATTTGGACTGGTGCAGTCAGCCAACTCTACCACTTCCAGTTTACACCATCTTATTCTGTGGCATGCATAGACGGGGTCTTAAACCTCCCTTGATTAATCAGATACAATATGAGTTGGGTGCATATTCTCTTTTGTTGTTTGTGTTGTGCTGTCAAGCTTCTTCCAGATTCTTCACTAAATCATCTCCTCCCTCTTACAGATTTTCCAGCAACATCCTGTGCAACGAGTATATGCCAATGTTACTAACTCAACAGGGGAACCCACAACCGCCCAACCCAACACGGCTTTGCTCTCCCTTGTCCTCATGGCAGGAACATTTTTCATTGCTTTCTTCTTGCGCAAATTCAAAAACAGCAGTTTCCTTCCAGGAAAGGTACATCTTCCATAGCACTTGGGTGAAATAGGACTTGAAGTGTTTTTAAATGTGTAACCTTTTAAAAAGGTTGTGATCACACAGTACACATCACACAAGAGGACGGGGTGGTCAGTTTCTGTGTAATGGCCAGGTTTGCATTGGAATGAAGAGCATAGGATGAGTTTTAGACTGAATCAATGGGATTATTGGAAAATTATTTTGGTTATCCTCTTAAATTAGAACAGTGGTTCCCAACCTTTTTTTTTAACTATGGACCACTTGACAAGGGACCACTCTTCAACATTAGTACCAAAAGGGTTACGAATCAGTTTTTGGTCAACTTTAGATTCAGTTTGCTTATTTGGGGTGCTGATTCAGGAAATTGCATTGGATAGACCACATCAGCTCCACTTTCTGATACAGAACCTATGCCATCCAGTAGCCGCCATCTGCTCACCCACAGAAAATCATATTTAATAAGCACTATAAGAGGGTTTTGCAAGACCAGTCACTCTTGTTGCAACGGTGTAGTAACAGCGAGGCCACAGACGATCTTTTAGTTCTTATGGACCACTGGTAGTTCACGGACCACAGGTTGGGAACCACTGAATTAGAATATATTAAATTTCTCTGTTGTTACTATAGCTTTAAATTTCAAGTATTTTGTAATAAATTAAGCTGCAGTCACTTGCTTGGCTGTATATCTCATTGAACACCATGAGATTTACTTCTGAAAAATCTGATATAGAGTTAATCTTTAATACAGTATGATTCATACTATGCCATGATACACATCTTCAGACATATTGTGCATTCTGAGATGAGCATTCAGAAAAATATATTCGAATTCTACAACTTAAGAATCTCAGCTATCTGTAGATTAACTAGTCCTCAAAGCTACAAAGACAGATTTAAATATTTAAAATAACTGGTGGCAACTTAGGTGCCAAAATGTTAGAAAAAGTAGGATTTCAAGCAAATGGAAAGGGTATCTGTCCACTAGACAGACCTTTACTTCAAATTATCAAAAATTTAATTGCAGACCTGTTTGCTTGGAAACCTAAAACTGCAGTCCTGTTTCCACTTACAAGGCAATGCATTCCTTTGAATGAAATATTGTTCTATGGTAGGACCCGTTTTGTAGAATATTTGTAGAATATTTATATTTGCAAAATTGATACAAAATGAAGAATGTGCTGAATGTTGGCAAAATAACTCAACCCCTTGCCTTTTCTTCCTCCATAATACCTGCATTTCCAAAGTAACATGGTGCTTATGTCTTGGTAGCTTCGTCGTGTGATTGGGGACTTCGGCGTCCCTATTGCCATCTTTATCATGGCCATGGCAGACTTCTTTATTCAGGACACCTACACTCAGGTAAGTAGTTGTGGGTTTTTTTTCCTCCAGTCACCTTCCTTCTTTCCAAATTCAACCAGGGGGGGGGGGGGGGGGGGGGGGGGGGGGGCTTCAGCCCCCCCCCCCCGAAATTCTCATGGTGGTTCGCGAAAAGGCCTTACTGGTGCATTATTTAAACTGTTATGTTTATTCATATCATGATCTGATCATCATACTCAATATATCCCATATGCATGGGGGTATTGGGGTAATGATACAAAAGGTTTGCTAGGTAGACCCTCTTTCACTCAGACTCAGCCCCCCCCCCCGAAACTCAGCCCCCCCCCCAAAAAACCCACCCTGTAAAAAATTCACCCCCCCCCAAACGAAATCCTGGCTACGGGCCTGAATTCAACAGATTACAACTTTCATGTCTTTTCTGGATAGAAATGAAGTATTTGTGCAGTCTTCCTCACCTGGAGGGCTGGGTTAAACTGATATTTTCTTTATTTTTTAAAATCATTTATTTCGGACATAGACCAACACAGGACATAGAAGTCACATTTTCATACAAACTTGGTACGTTTAGTACATTAAAAATATAAATAGAACTACTACAGCACAACAGGGGTGAGGGAGCGGAAGGGGAAACAGGGTAAAAACATACAATGCACAGGTCCATCAGCAAATTATAGATTCAGGGAAGATGATTACTGGACACACAGTTAACTTTTGGGACTAGTCATCCCCTGACGGATTTTGTAGGCTGCTGCACAGAACTTTGCAACATTGTAGGTAGTAGCTGAATTAGTATCTACGAGTAGCAGGGAGGTATAAAATTGTCCTGAATGGCCTGGGTGCTTGTATATCAGAGGTTAAGATAAGCCTGGCACCGATATCCCTGTAGAACGGGCACTGAAGGAGCACATGTTCTGTTGTTTCTATATGACCCGAGTCACAGGGGCAGAGTCTCTCTGGGAGAGGGATCTTCCGGGAGCGGCCTTCAAGTACAACTGATGGGAGAGCGTGGCATTGAGCCAGCGTGAAAGCGATGAATAGGAACCTCTAAGTTTGTTAAATATGCCATAGGAAAGGCAAGATATCTGCTGTCTTCATTGATAAGGAAGGTTGGAATGGAGGCCAGGTCTAGTTGGCGCTCTGTGTCTGTGATACGTTGTTTAATAAGTGCTTTGGCTTATAGTAGACCTGGAGAAAATCCCAATAAGGAAATGTTAGATGCTACCGCCTGCTTCCATATGGATTGGAAGTCATCCTCCATGGTTAGTGGGGCAAGACCAAGGGGTGCACGGGATAGTCTGAGCCAGAGGTTGAGTATGGCCACCCACATCCTGGCCTCCACCCTCATAAAGGCCGTCTCTAGTCGCAGGGTGGCATTAGAAACCCATTTAGGTACCTGCAAGGCTGATCTCAGAAACTTTGACTGAACCAGCTCTAATGGGGCAAAACTGGGGAAGGGGCCCAGCTGAGCCCCATACAAGAGTTGGGTTAATGACTTAACTTCAAACAGTTTGAGTGCTGCTGGTGTAAAGTGGCCCCCTCTTGACTTAAGATATTTAAGAATGGCAATTGAGCTCCTCTGCGCGGTGTTGGCTACTTGATCTTCTTGAGCTCTTCTACTACCGTTAGATTAAAGGACTACACCCAGATATTTGAATTATGTGACCTGTTCAATTGTATGACCATCTATGCTCCAAGAGTAACTCCTGGGTCTTTTAGTGAAAGCCATTATTTTGATTTTATTGTAATCAAGTTGAAGCTGATCTGTGTTGCAATGTTGTATTAATGCTTTCAGAGCTCTTTTGAGCCCAATGGGTGTTCTAAAAAGTACAGCAGCAGCATCTGCATAAAGCAAGATGGAGATGTGTCTTCCCGCCAGCTTTGGGGGGGGGCGGGGTGGAAGTCCATGTTTTGAAGTTGGTCCACTATGGAGTTTATATAAAAGTTGAACAGCAAAGGGGCCAGGACGCAGCCTTGCTTGACACCCTTGCCTGTTTCAACAGCCTCAGTGAGGTGGCCCTGTGGGTTGTATCTTCCTTTGAGTGTGGTCTTTTCATGAAGTTGGCATATTAGATATAATAGATGGCGATCTATAGTAGATATTTTCCAATAATCGGAGCTCGATTTCATTTATTTTTTGTCTTTACTTTTTTATGTTATGTATGCATGTGTCTGTATGTCTTTAATTAATTAATCTGTACCCCGCCTTTCTCCCAACATGGAATCCCCATAGAAACTGAAAGTTCCAGAAGGCCTTGAGGTCTCCAATCCAAAGGAGCGGGGTTGGTTTATCCACCCATTGGGAAACGATTTCCCAATTGCGATGATGTTTGCTGCAGCTTTACCAGCTCTTTTGGTCTTCATCCTCATCTTCTTGGAATCACAGATTACCACGTAAGACTCTGGTGAATATGTATTTTAAAAGCTAGAAAGTGATAATACCAAGATAAAATACTAAGCCAGCAATAAGAATATGAACAGAGAATACTTATTAAGTCAAAATAAAAAATGCAGACAAATGGAAAGCAATGCAGGGTGGGTAGAAGCTTTGGAAATGGGAAATGAAAAATAAATCAGATTGTTTACATTCCATGATGACAGAAAATGGTTAGAATTGCATTTGTCCTCCATTGTGCATTTAATGAGCATATTGCACTACTGGTTGGTTAGATACTATGCATTGAGATGTCAAGTCTCTTGTCATGGAAACATGTCAAATATTTTTTTCATCCTTTTAGACTGATTGTGAGCAAACCAGAGAGGAAACTTGTGAAAGGTTCGGGTTTCCATCTAGACCTGCTTCTAATTGTTGGCATGGGGGGTGTAGCTGCCATGTTTGGCATGCCCTGGCTCAGCGCCACCACTGTGAGAACTGTCACGCATGTTAATGCCCTGACAGTGATGTCCAAGACTACTGTCCCGGGAGAAAAGGCTCATGTTCAAGAGGTCAAAGAACAGAGGATCACTGGCTTGCTGGTGGGCATTCTTGTAGGTAAGTTCTTTTGGAGAAAACTCCATTCATTTTATCTATACTGATGTATTATCTAAGGATCGAATGGAATAATGCAACTGCGGCAGCCATATATGTTCCCATATAAAAATATTTATTTATTTACAACATTTATATTCTACCTTTCTCACCCCGAAGGGGACTCAGAGCAGCTTACAAGTAACATGTACATACAATATATTATATTATTAGCATAGCACAATATTAGTATTATATATTACTATATTGTACTATACCACTATACTACGTACAATATTATTAATAATATTACATGTAATATATATAATTATTATATTGTATTATTATTAGTATTGTATTGTATTACAACATTATGATCAATATTAGATGTACATACAATATAATTATTAGCATAGCACAATATTAGTATTATATAAAACTATATTGTACTATACCACTATACTGCAATATTATTGATAATATTACATGTAATATACAATATAAAATTATTATATTGTGATATTATTAATTAAAATGCAAGGGATCCTTTGTTAGTTTTATAGCCCTGTAAGGAGATCTGAAATTAGAAATCTGAACTCTCTGCCTTCTTCTGCCTAATGGGTAAGGGCCTACCCTAGTTCTCCATGATGTCAAATATTTTTTCATGAAAGCCATGAAAGGCTAAAGTGTGTCCTCCCTATTCAAAGACAGTGCATGCATCTGAAAACTACTCAGAAATGGAAGAATAATCAATAAGAGGGCTCGATACTTTTACTATATTTGGTTAGAGAGCTTCCCAGTTCAAGCTAGGTCATCCTATAACTTATACCATTGCCTTTTGTTTCCTTGCAGGCCTCTCCATCCTCATGGAGCCCGTCTTGAAACTGATTCCACTTGCAGTACTCTTTGGCATTTTCCTTTACATGGGGGTGACATCCCTCAATGGGATCCAGCTGTATGATCGCATCCTTCTAATGCTGAAGCCCCCCAAATACCACCCTGATGAAGCTTTTGTTAGAAAAGTAAGTTGGAAAAAAAGTGAGGAGTCGCAGTTGCAATATATTTCTCTTTTGGCCCCTGGGTGAACTGGGAGGAAAAAACAAACAAACAAGACAGGAACCCCACACCTTCTGCCCTAAAACTATCCATTATGGTTATCTGTCAAGGCGTACAAGGGTTGACATGTAGCCCTTAGCACTGATGTGCAACCTTTGGATCCCTTCTCCCCCAGAAGACCTATCTAGCCTTCAGCCACCCCCAATTTTCTTTAAATTTAAGAAATGAATTTTGAACAACTTTTGTCCCCAAAGAGAAAAAAAGCCTTAAAATGCAGTGTTCTTCTTCCCTTCATCCTGCAAATTTGGGGGATGTCAGGAACTTGAGAGATAGAGACCACCCAAAAGCTATAATATTCCTATTTCTGGCTTTAAAAGTGGCAATGTGCTCCCACTCTTTCTTGTTTCTAGAATCTATTATTTATTTGGGGTGCTTCTACCCCACCCTTCTCAACCCCTAGGGGGGAACTCAGGGCGGCTTACAAAAGGCACAATTCGATGCCTAACAATTACAACATACAATGGAATATACAATACACAAATTTACCATATAAAATCACAGTTATCACTAATTAAAACAATCACAATATACTAGCAGCAATAAAACATCTTGTGGTCAGTGTTCACCAAATCCAATCCATAAACCATTTAGCATTGTCATTGTCCTTTCCTACTCTGGTCATTATTGGTTGTCCTACTCTGGTCATTATTGGTTATTGGAATCTAGGATGTTGTTTCTTAACGTTAAAAATGTTAAACAGTATGGGGGATCCCACAGGCCCCTGGCCAGGGTCGATCAGGTGTCCCTTAGCATCATCATCTGAAGGACTGCAATACAGTGACCCCTAGTCCCATCCCGGAGACTCAGCACAGAAGGATACCATAGTTGATGGCATCAAAAGCTGCTGAGAGGTCCAGGAGAACCAACAGGAAAACACTCCCCCCTGTCTTACTCTTTTCATATATCATCCATCAAGGCAACCAGTTCTGTCTCAGTTCCATAGCTAGGTCTGAAACCAGATGGAAATTGATCCAGGTAATCGGTTTCATCCAAGAAACTTTGGAGTTGAGAGGCTACAACCTTCTCTAGAACCTTGCCCAGAAAGGGGAAAATTGATACTGGCTTAAAGTTGTTAAATTGAATGGGATCCAGTGTCTACACTACCATACAATCCAGTTCAGTTTGCATGATCATGGCAGTGCAGATGGGGTCAAAGTGACTTGATTTATCAAAAGTTTATCTCAAGTTCAATTTAATACAGCACAAGTGAAGTCTAACATCAAGCCTGTGCTTACCATAGCTGAGCCCTGGTATCTGCTATTAGTGTCATCAATTGGAATTAGAAGGCATGAAGTTAGAATTAAACACAAGAACCTGGTTGTGAATATAGTTTCCCAGTGATTCTGTAAAAGAGGAAGAAGTATTTTTGGTTCAGAGAGTAACTTCCAAGCAAGCTCAAGGCTTGCTATCTCAGTTTAGAAACTAGACACAGTGCCAACACAAACTAGCTCTGTAGCAAAACATATAGTCTGCATGTGAAGGTCACAGATCCCATCTCCAGAGGACATGAAATTGCAGCTTCAGTTAACAATTTCTTCTGTATTTTCCTCCTGAACAGGTAAAGACCTGGCGCATGCATATCTTCACCCTCACCCAGATAGCATGTCTGGTGGTGCTGTGGGGAGTGAAATCCAGCCCAGCCTCCCTTGCTCTGCCTTTCCTCCTCATCCTGACTGTGCCATTGAGACGCTATGCACTCCCCTTCTTCTTCAGTGACCTTGAACTCAAGTGTGTAAGTACCACTCAACCTTATCTTCTCATTGAGCAGAGGGAGGTTTAGATTTGAATCTCCTTATGAAGGGGAAGAAACAAGAAAGTGCACTTTACTCTTAATTAACTGTGGAATAAAGCTGGACAAGCTATGGCACCTACCAAATTGTGTGGTTTTAATAGAGGATGAGACAAATTAATGAAGGATGAGCTTATTAATGGTTGCTAGCTATCTCCTGGGGGGACTTGGGGTGGCTTACAAATAACACACAACATACAAAATACAGTGTATCAACATTAAAACCAATAACACATTTAAAACCAGACACATACAATTATCAAGAGCAGTAATAGTCAGTAAAATGTGGTGATTGCCATTGATTAAAAGATCCATGCAATCAATTTAGCCTTCCTGGATAAAGATTTTAGTTTGGCTGCTATCTTAAACATTATCAAAAATCTACTGGAATAAAAATAATTGCCCAGTATTTAATGGTATTCTTCCCCATAACTTTTCTTCCAGTTGGATTGTGATGATGCTGATGTGACCTTTGATGAGACAGAAGGCCAAGATGTTTATGATGAAGTCCAGATGCCAGTTTGATCACCTACACTGTGCTACATATTTCAGGCTGATAAAAAAAACCCTAAGAGGCCTCCCTAAAAACTTATTGACAAAAACAAGAGCTGGAAGAATATTTTTCTACATCGGAATGAACCAGAGTATACAGTAGTTGCATACTGGTAAATATCCCAAAGATGTAAATACATACATGCCTGTCAACAGATGGATTCCATAGGATTTAAATTACTAACATATGTTTTAGAATGATCTTCTTCCAGTTCTGCCATGAAATCTTAACCAATATTGAGGAAAAAGACTTATTTTCCCAGAAGGGAAGAATTCAACCAAAGCTACTCAAGGATGGAGAAAAGATGGAAAATGTGATCATGGACCCAATGTTTAATGCTGCCTCTAATTCTATTACTTCTCTTCTGTTGTGTGTGTGCATGTGTGTGTGTGTGTGTGTGTGTTTGTGCAAGTGCACAAATGTGTGTGAAATTTGACCAAATGTACACAAGGCCCTGTCTAAAAAAAAATCCAAGACAGGAAATGCTTCTTTCAGTTTCCAGCACAAAGACACCGCAATGAATGCTGAATGTAATGTTAAAAATTAGTGAAGATGCTGTCCTATTTACCTTGAATTTGTGGAACATGTCTTGGAGGACACCTGATTGAAACTAAGAACTGGCAGAGTGACATGATCTTTCTCAGAATTGCTAGGTATGCAAAATATTGAGCATGGAAATGAAGCAGGATAAATTCTCTTGCTTAGATTTTTCAAGGTTTTCGCCAAAAGAAAGAAGCATCAACTTTTCCTTCAGGTCAGTAACCTGATATGGAGATGCCAGAACTATGAAGAAGAATCGAGACTAAGTAAAAACATTGTTGGACTAGTTTTGCTTTGGCAAAATGGAGAGGATATTCCATAAACCCTGATTCAAGGAGAATCCACATTTTTCCTTAACTTGAAGAATTCATCTTTTAATTTACTTCAGCTCTCCTACTATGATTAGAACTGTGGTAATAAGAAGTCTGAAGGTACCATCCAAAGGAAATGTCCTTGTATGTTCCTTTTGCCTTGCTCTTTTCCATCAACTATTGGCACTTGCAGTTGATATTCCTTGTTTTTCCTTACTTTCTCTATTGCAGTCACATATCAAGATTACTTCCAGATATAACAAATTATCATGTATCCTAATTACAGTAACCAGGGCTGTGTATTTTAAAGTTCAAACATAGAAGCTCTTATCTGCTACAAACTGGCATTTTGTGACACTTAGTTTTCAAAACAATGCTTTCATAGACCTTATGGAACAGAGAAATCTTGCAAATTTCCCCCACGTTCTTCCTTTTGCCTCTCCTTTTCCCATTGTTTTTCAACACCTTCCATAGTATTTCAATTTTTTTCCCAAGGAGCAAAGCCAATGAGATACATGCAAACAAACTGAATGTATGTGATCCAGTCGTACTACAGAATATGGTTTTAAAACTGTAGTTCAAATAAGAGTGCACTTGGTCAACAAAAGCAATGTAAATATACCATAGATTTGCCTTAAACTGTACTAAAAGTGGGATTACCTTGGTAAGGGAACACACATCCAGCAGCATCAGAGAAATATGGCTATCTCCATGCCTATACCCTCCAATATTTCAAAGATGGAAACCTGGCCAAGCAATATCATGGAGTGGTCAATATGTCAAAAGTTATTCATGAAGAAGAAGAGCAAACTTAGAAGAAGCTGCAGCAATTTGATTTTGCCTAAGCCTACTGAATGCCATTTCTAGCTTTTGAAGTTAGTTAAAAATGAAGAGGGAAATGGGAGAAAGATATACAAATTAGAATATTTTAAAAGCAACTGAAAAAATGGGGTGACAGGAGATTTACTTCTTCACAGGTGCTAACGCCCAAAATGTGTACAATCGTTTGTAGATAAAACTGTCTCATCCCAGGCCTTATATAGATAGTTGTTGAGTGAAATGCTTTCAATATATGCCAAGAGATGCTCTTTCCTTGGCAACTTTGCCTAATCTAGGTTTGAGCCCTTCTTTGTTTTGAATGCTGCTTCACATAAACCTTAATAGTAGCAGGACTGGGGAAAACGGTAGTGCTTCTTCGTGCAACACTTGATCAATTTATGGAACTGGGATGACTGACATTAAATCAGTTTGTTACATCCTGTTTCTCAGTTTCCCAAAAGCATGCATTATTGGCTTCAGGGCTGCGAAATGCTGCAGCCCAACACAATACAGATGAACCCTTGGGCTGATCGGCTACAGGTGTTCTTATGTCTTTATGAAAAATTAAAAACAAAGAGGGAAATAATATTTCACTGATGTTTAACCTGAACAAAATGTTCAATTTATTACATACATTTCTTAGATAGCTTATGTAAACAAAAATAAGATATTTATGAAATCCTCAATTTCACAGACCCCACAACCATGAGTCCAGTTTGTGTTGGCTGAGGGTCAGAAAATTAATTAAAGATGTGGACTCCAAGGGTTGCTGTAAACTTACCCTGTGGTAACCTTGCTATAACTAGGGTTGCCATTTGTAAGGACAGGGAAAGGTGCAACAACCTAGGAAAGCTCCTTTGCCTTTAGTAGAATCACAACCGACAGAAACTCAACAGATTTAAAACTGGACAAATTTTACCTCCTGAAATAGTGTGTGTGTATTTTGCCATTGCCTAGGTGATAGGAGTGTGGGAAATGGCACGGAATTCGGTTCTGTTTTTGGGTCCGTCCGTCCCCCCGTTCTGTTCTTCCCAAAACAGAAACTGAACTCAGCGTTCCAAATCATGAATCCAAATGACTCCCTCCTAATCTCCGACATCTTTCCGAAAACAAAACAGGGGGTATCCAAAATTCAAGATCAAAATAGAACAAAAACAGAACAGATTTGCACACCCCTACTAGTTGATAAAGGCACAGGAGCCTTTCAAGGAAGAAATGTGGCACCCTTAGTTGTAAGTAATAATGTACACATTTTAAGTTAGTGACCATGGGCTTTTGTAATTTATTAAAATTATATATTTGATGTTTTAATTGCTTTGTTTTTTTCTGCTTTTTGATTTTTTTTAATAGAAAAGGATTATATTTGAGTTTTGCTAAGGAGACCATGCAGTAGTGTGCCATCACATATATTCTGTTATTTTCTCTGATTGATTTAGATATGATTAAGATGATAATGTTTTCTTGATTTGAACCACAAAAGCAATAAACCTTTTTTATGAAATAAATCAACAACAAAGAACATCCTCCCTTTATTTGGAATCCAACAACCACACTACACTTCCATTTGAACTTGCTGGGAACAATATCAGTTGTAATTGTTATGAAAATAAGAAGGCGAGGTCAGTGGAATAGGGAGGCCTATGACTGACCATGGTGTGAGATAAAGGTCTAGTTGTAACCTGATAAAATGGTGTTTGGGGTAATATATTCAGGTGTAGCTGTGTAGGCCATGCACAAATATCCAACAAAATCCAAAATACACAAAACAGTGATATCTTTATTGACCAACCAAAAATGCACAAATACATCATTGCAAGATTCTACCATTATTGCTTTTTGTTTCCATTATAATTTTTAAAACATATTTTGCTTTGCAAAGAAATCAATAGAGCTTCAAGAGCTTGCATGAAGTACTGTATTCTGTACACTTCAAAATGGAGATGAAGATAGAGGCTACAAAAGGATTCTTTCCCTGCAGGAAACAAAATGGCAGGAAATTGTATATCTAGGTCTAATTCTTAACATGTCAGTTTTCTATCGGTGAGCAATTTGTAATAAACAGACCGCCCTCAAGTTACAAACAACATAGGTTCTGTAAGTTTGTTCTTAAGTTGCATTTGTAAGTAAACCAGAACAGGTACATTTTTAAGCATAACTCCAACCGTGTGTGTGTGTGTGTATGTATATATATTAGCTTTGGACAGCACAGGGAAAGATTAACATCCCTGTGGCGTTTGTTTTGCTGTATGTACCTCTGCTCAGAAGATTTCACTTCCCTTTCTGTCCTTGTGATTATTGGATTTTGAAAAAAAAATGGCAAAACAAGGATCCTGCACCACACTCCAATTCAGAGAGTTTAACTGTTGAACAGCTCTTACGATCAGGAAGGTCTTAATTTGAACTACAATGTTTAAGTATCATTTTAAAAATCTCCTTTCCTGTAATTTGACCCCATTGCTCTGAGTCCTGGTCTCCAGGGCAGTAGAAATTTTATTTATTTATTTACTGTATTTATATCCCTCCCTTTTCACCTCAAAGGACACTCAGAGCAGCCTTGCAATAGGCAACAATTAGATGCCATAAAAACATAGAACAGATCTATAATAAAATAGATACATTAAAACATAATATTAAAAAGCATAAAAACATTAAAACCAATTATTAGCAAGAACTACATAATCTGAAATCAAAGTCAAGAGCCATTCTAGTTCATGATTGCACATATTTTATTTTATTTTATATATTTATATTCCGCCTTTCTCACCCCGACTCAGGGCGGAGCACAGCATATATATGGCAAAAGTTCAATGCTGGGACATGAAATCAAAACATTTGTCTCAATATTAAAATACACTGGGCCACCACTAAGAAATCCCACCACTGAGAAGGCCTTGTCCCTCATTCTCATCAACCGCACTTGCGAAGGTGGGGGGACTGAGAGCAGGACCTCCCCAGAAGATCTTAACTTCCAAGATGGTTCATAGAGGGAGATACGTTCAGACAGATAAGCTGGGTTGATATTGTTAACTTAATTCTTAAGGAATTCTTAAAGAAACAAGCCTGCTCTCTCCTGCTTATGACACCCTTTCACATATTTATACATGGCTATCATGTCTTCTCTCAACCTTCTCTTCTGCAGGCTAAACAGTCCTAGCTCTTTAAGATGCTCCTCATAGAGCATGGTTTTCAGACCTATGATAATTTTAGTTACCCTTCTCTGGACACCCTCCAGCTTCTCAATATTGCTCTTAAAATTCTGGTGCCCAGAATTGGAGACAGTATTCCAAGTTGAGGTCTGACCAAGGCAGACTAGAGAGGCACCATGACTTCCCTTGATCTAGACACTATACTCCTTTTGATGCAGCCCAAAATCCCATTGGCTTTTTCAGCGGCTGCATCGAATTGTTGGTTCATGTTCATGTTCAACTTGTGATCTAGTAAGACTCCAAGATCTCTTTCACATGTACTTTTGTCAATAAGAACTATTTTGATTTCAAGGTGTATAATATCTAAAATGAATACAGTAATTATAATGTTGTAGCACTCTAGGTTTATTTCACATAAAATCATAGTATAATCTTTTGTGAAAAAGCATTTTGTTCATTCCAGACAGGCATACATTTCAAAAATATTTCACAGAGTTGTTGGGAAACTCAGAGTGGTAAGAAAAAAAGTAACGCCTTGAGCTTTAGAGGAAAGATGATTTTCTGTACATACTCATGTGTCAGTTGACTTTGTGTATAAGTCAATGGCAGGCTTTGAGGCCAAAATTATAGATGTTGCTGACCCATGGATAAGTCGAAGTCATTCCAAGGAGATGGGAAAGCGGCAACAGCCTCAGGGGGGCAGCTGCTCCATTTTCTCATCCAGGCATTCAAAAAGGCCATTTGACCCTCTAATCAGAAAAAAGGAAGCCTTTTAAAATAAGCATTAAACTACAGCACTACATTGGCCTATGGACAAGTTGACATAGTTTTTGGAGGTCGATTTTTAACAATTTATAGACCTATGTAGATAGTGACTCCTTAATATCCACTGAGGATTGGTTCAAGGTCCCCACATGGATACCAAATTCCATGGATTCTCAAATCCCATTATATACAGTAGCATACTAAAATAATGCCCCTTATATAGAGTGGGAAAATCAAGGGTTGCTTTTTGGAGAGAGAGAGACACAGACAGACAGACAAACAAACACACATATACATATTCTAACTTGGGTACCCAGCGGTGCCCGGTTTATTTGAAAAAAGCATTGTTTGTTTCGAGGTGTTAGGTAATATCATTTAGTTAATTAGGAAAACTATTCATTGGGAAAAGGCTATAATGTGATTTTGTTTTTTATTAATGCTCCCATTAGGAAATACATAACGATGTGGGTGAACTACAATTCCCAGAATTGTGGGTCAATCCTCCCCAAACCAGGCCGGTATGCACACTTGACTATGTTGGGTGTGTGTGCTAAGTTTGGTCTAGATCTGTCGTCAGCTGGGTTCAGTGCTCTCTGGATAAGGGTGAACTACAACTCCCATATGCCAAGGGCAGTCACCCCCAAATCCTGCCAGTATTTACAGTTGGCCATGTTGGGTCTGTGTGCCAAGTGTGGTCCAGATCCGTCGTCGTCTGGGTTGAGTGCTGGGTTGAGCTACAACTCCCAAAATCCAAGTTCAATTTCCACAACCCCCTGCAGTGTGTTCAGGGCTTCTCTGTACCAAGTTTGATCCTGGTACATTGTCAGTGGGAGCCAGTTTCTCTAGATACAGGTACTACTCCCAGATTCCGAGGGCAATACCCCCAAACTCTGCCTGTATTCACAGTTGGGCATGTTGGTATGTGTGCCAAGTTTGGTCCAGATCCATTGTTGGTTGGGTTGGGTTCACAGTGCTCTCTGGATGTAGGTGAAGTACAACTCCTATAAATCATGGTAAATCCCCCCCCCCCCCCGCCACACACACACACCTGGTCATTGGGGTTCTGTTTGCCAAATGTGGTCCATGTCCATAATTGAAGGGGAGCACAGCGCTCTGCCTTGATGCAGAGTGAACTACAACTTTCATCCTGTTGAGTCAGTCCCCCAAACCCCTCCAGTTTGTTCAGTTGCTCATCAATTCCTCTCTGTTTTCTGTGTGCCATAGGAAAGGACAGGAAAGGACTAAGGGAGAGGCAGATTCCACCCAAGAAACCCTGGGATGCCTGCCTGTGGTGGAGGAAACACATCAAATCTAGGATGAAATTGTTCTGGAATGAAAGCATTTCTTGGGTGGTGGTCCGTATTATTTGGGGAGAACATTGGCAGTGTTTGGGTTACATGTTCATGGCGCTCGCTATAGCCTGCAATGTCAGTTGAGAGAATGCCTTTGGAGGCTTCTCAGCACTTGGAACTATAGCTTGTTTATGGAAACCGGAGGATGTGTGTGTTAGTGGACATCTCCACCACATATACACATACACATTTTTTTACTTTTACTTGTGTATATAATATAATATATAATATAAGAATATATAATATAATTATTATAATATAAGAGAGAAAGAGAGAGAGTGCCATGGACCTGTGGATATAGAAGGCCAACCGTATACAGTAAACACAAAGATTAAAACTCAGAGAAGAGGATTGGAGTCTGTAACGGACATATGTGATTTACACTTGTCCAAATGGAACAGTTATTTTCTACCACTATTTTATAAGACAATTGAAAAGATATGAGTAAGTGTATTACTATTGTTTGTTTTTATAGCACCATCAGTGCATATGGTCTTTACAAGTAAAACAACCAAAAACAGTGGGTCCTGCTAAAGGTGCACTGTCACACACAGAGGGAAATACCATATGTGTGATTTCACAGGGACCAATATGAAGAAAGGTATGAATAACAAAGTTATAAAACATATGAAACAGTTATAAAATAAACTATCCAGATAAAATACAAACATATAATGTAAAGCTAACTCATAAATACATGTAAGCAAAATATACAAAATTATAATGTGATGCATTAAATTCCAACAGTATAGAGCAGAAGTGGGAAAAGGCAAAGACAAGCCAAGGAAGAGAAAACCGTGGTTTGGTGAGAAACCTACAGATTCTAGAATGCAGATCTCAAGCAGGCTGGTGAAAAAAGAAATAAAGGCAGAAGGAAGAGCTTGGTTATGTAGGGCGTTGGATATTAAAACAAGATACTTTACCAAATCCTAGAAGGAGTGGGTTATCAATTAAGAGATATCCAAAGTCGAGGTGGTGTAATCAAAATGACAGCAGTGGTTTAGTGTTGTGGTTTGCGCAACTAAAACTGAGATGCCCAGGTTCAAACCCTTCTCAGCCATGGAAATCCACTGAGAGACC